TACGACGCCTTGATCTGTGAGATACATCATCGCTTCCAAAATCTCTATGATGATTCTGCCCTTCATTGATATTGGGACAGTGACCTAGAAACAGGATGAGTAAAATTTCAATGAATCCTCCAATTCATTTAACAATATCATAATTTGAGTTATTTAGGGCTGCAAACTATTGTTTAAAACTAGTGAAACTACTAAAGTTACAGACAGTTATTCTAAATCTTTCCCTTATCAATGTGAGTACAGATATTAAACGTCCTGACCGTGTCTAGCATGACCAACAGGTTGCCTCTAGGGCAGAGTTCCATTACTAGCGAGCAGTCTTTGTCCTCCATGATCACACCCAATAACTTGACCACCCGCTCATGGTTCAGGCTTGCCATGGTGGTCCCCTCCTCCAGCAGTGACCTTTTAATCTCTCTGGAAAGAAATTAGAGTGAGAACCAGATAAGTGGCAAAAAAAAAGGACGTAGGGATGCACCGATCCGATATGCTAGTACTTCTTATCTTTAGATAAAGACAGTTGTCAATGTCATTGTAAAATTCAGCGTTCCTGCTATCATTCAGACAAAGCGACACCAAATGTCCTAATGTGCTTGCATAAAATGGTTAAAATGTGTTCCACAAACACATAGTGAAGTACAGTTTTGACATTTTTTGGGGAAAAAGGAGCAAATGAATTGGTTCAGGACCCAGTACTAGAGATACCCTGGATTTAGGTTGGATTGGTGCATCCTTTGCATGGCATATGGGAAATCAAAAATTAAAATCCTATCTTAAGGCTGCAATAAAAATACCAATGTTTTTTTAAGAGAAGGGCTGTACATGTTAGAAGTGAATTCGACAGAAAAGTGTTGAGGCAGCTGATCGGAAGGACCTCCGTCCGCAGTTCTTTGCTCACATCTCTTTATTAAAAGGAAGTAAGTTACTAGAAATCAGTGCATGCTTTTACATAACGTTAGCGCACAGCCTGGGGCGAACACGCATTCCTTACTAATTAGTTCGCACAGGCAACAAAATTCCATCAATATCATATAATATTTCATAGTATATCTGGTTGTGTGGAGAGCCTCCCTCAAGTGTCCTGCTGGGCACATGACCCAAGTTAACATTTAAAGCCAAGGGGAATGCCCAGCATACTTCATACAGTTACAGATACACACACCACTTACTCGTTTCGAAGAGAGCCTGTATACATAATCTTCGACACCACCTGCCCGAGGGTTGCATGGTAGCACAGGTAAACTTCTCCAAATCCTCCGTAGTCCAGGGGCTCTCTTTTGATGAGATCAATCGATCTCACCAGGGGAAGTGAAGTATGTGGCGGGGTGGCCATCCCCAATACAAGTCACAACTAAACAGCTGAACGAGATAAGTTATACCACAGCTTAGGAAAAATAAAAAACTTTCTATGCAAAATTGGTATGCAAATTATGCCGACAACCCGGAAGACTGAAGCTTCAAGACTCAAGCATCCATAACTTTCAAAACACTGACAGACTGATATTAAGCTACTTTAACGCCCAACGTTTCCCGAAAGTCAACAGTAAGCTTAGCTAGCCCTCGTAACAAAACTCTTCACCGAAAAACAACATTACACAACCCGTTTGCTATAAATATCAGCAAAAACTGGAGGAGCTCGGCTCCCAAACAGTGCGGTAAAACCCTTGTAAGTTAGAGCACTTTGCTTGTGTTGTTATTTCCGGGTTTTCCTCGACGCATAGTTAAACGAATAGACGAATAGTTCAAAGCAGCGAAACCTGCGAGGTGACGTTGAAACAGCCTAAAACGTCGCTAACACATCAGGACGACCTAACGTTAAACACATTCAATAACCAAACGCAAATGCAGGGTATAAGTTGTTTTCTTGCTGAACTTTCGTTTTAACCGGGGGTTTTGAGATACAGAACAGCTGTGGAATAGGACCATTGTAAATCTTGTCGTGTGGCATTGTCGCCACCTACTGCTGAATTTAATTATCGCAGAAAAAAACGTTTCATTGCTCAGAATGACTGCACTATTATCAATTTGAGATTTGATAGTGATGACCTTTTTTTATACAGTCTATGTTGATGACTCACTGTTCTATCGCCTGAACCTCCAGTCAAGTTTCAGTTGTATCTAATCAGCATGAGACCAATGATTGTACTGAACCTGAAAGAATGAGGAAACAAACTGTAATGCTTAACTTAAATGATTAACACGCTATGATATTTTGGAAGTAGCCTTCAACAAGTCCTGCTAAAATGATGCCTTATGACGCCTAATTAAAAAAAAAAAGTTCATTGATAAAACAAGCGTTTATGTGAAACTAGAGTGGGAAACCACCTGAAGTATAGCCTCTGACAGCGTGGGCGAGGCATGACATGCAGGCCTACATTTTGGGCAGCCTATCTGTGAACGCCCACACTATAAATTCCTCCTTTTGCACACTAAAGCCACAACAAAGCAGTATCATATTTACCTGTCTTGCATTGTCTCGGTTTTCTGGTTAACATTTATTTTCCTTTTTCTGTTATTCGTGTTTGTTGCTGGAAATCTTCAGGTTATTTGGAAAATGTCCTGTGACAGTTTGCAATTTATTGAGTACTGTATTAGACTATTACGCAGACACATTGGTGAATAAAAGTGCCTCATTCATGTGAGAACTATTTTCCATTTACAATTTAAACTGTTTGATGAAAGATCCATGACCAATATCAAGTGATCAGACCCATTTTCATTAGGGGTGCTCTGGCAATAACTGATTATGACTTTTTAATAACAAATATGTTAGCAGCATGAGTTATTTCAGGTATTCAACCAAGTACTCAGATCTAGTACTTAAAAGTAGCAATGCCACAGAGTTAAAATACTCTTCAAGTAAAAGTCACGCATTAAACTTTTACTTTAGTAAGTAAGTACAAAAGTATTGGCATCAAAATATAGGCTATTTAAAGTACCAGCAGTTAAAGTCTACTCATTATGCAGAATGGCACATTTCAGAATAACTGAATAATATATATTTTTGCATTATAATTATTTATACATTAATATGTACATCACTTTAATGTTGATGGTAAAGGAGGAGCCAATTTATATAACTACTTACTTTATCTGCTCGACAGCTTGTGAATTTCCCCACGAGGATCACTAAAGGTTTATCTTAATCTAGAATTTTACATCATAATTTATTTGTTAAATATTGTATTATTTATGTGAATATGCAAGATAACTAATAGCGAAAGGTCAAATAAATGTAGTGGAGTGAAAAGTACCTTATTTCCCTCTGAAATGTTGTGACGTAGAAGCATAAAGTAGCCAAAAATGGAAGTCAAATAAAGTACAAATACCTCAAAATTGTACTTATGTACAGAACTTTAGAAAATGTACTTTGCTACTTTCCACCACTGCATTCATCCAGGAGGCAATGCTGTTTTAGACCAACTGAGGCAAGAATAAGAGGAGTCCTGTCATGGAGGAACATCAGCAAGTAGTGAATTGATAACCAGCTCACTCCAGGTTTTCCTGTTGATACGGTCAAGAAGAAGAGGTCATTTTCCCATGTGAAGCACTCTGTGTCTATAGACTCTGGTCGCCTGACATATCTGCCGCAGACACCTCCACCCATTCAAGGTGTAGTCTGGTGGTCACACACTGCCCCACATAGAACAACAGCAGATCACCAGGAAGTTAAACCAACAGGCGCCTGCGGTTTAAATGTGCTGTCAATGTGGGGCAGTGGGTAGCAGTACTTCCTGTTGATGCTGTTAACGTGATAATGATCAGTGCAGAACTGCCAGGTGCCATCCTTTCTCTGTAACAGCACTGCTAAAGCTTTCCCTGCCGGCAAGTGGCTTCTTAATGCCTGCCCTGTAGTCATCTTGCTGGTTTTCTCTTCTACCCGGCTCTTGGCTAGAGGTCTATGTTGGAGGTTGATGACCCTTTCTGGTAGTGGTGCTGACAACTGGCTCTTCCCCTGTTGTTTGGAAAGTCCCTAATGCAAGGCTGGTGTCTGGACAACATTTGCCAATGGGGTTAAGTCACACAGATGCTCTGATGGTAGAAAGGGTGACTAACCAGGGTGCAGGGAAGGTAGAGACCCTCTGTGTGGCAAGTGTGTACAAGCCTTCCCATCCCCTCACTGGATAGATTTCCCCACTTCTGAGAACATTCACATGTTGAATTTGTCAGTTCTTTGTGCTTACACATCCATCCCTCATTCAGCCCAGGAATTTTGGGTAAATGGGCAAAGTTACTCTCAAAGATGGTTGGGGGCTTAAGTAAATCACTTAAGATCAGTGTGTCTCTTCCTCTGGTGTGACATTCGAGGTTAGTGTTCTGAATGAGAAATCGCATAGTCCTATCTGCAGCAAAAGCCTATATTCTCTTACTGTTCTGCTGATGACTTTAAACAAAGCTTCACCTGTAGCCTGTCACACCATGCATAAAAGTAATTTGCTATTCAACAATGAGACAGTGGCCACCTCTGAAAAAAACAACTTACTTCTTAGTTTGCATAAAGTCAAAGGCAGTGGTGTCCAGGGCCTTAAAAATGTGTTAAAAGTCATACCCAATTTTAGCATGATATCTCACAAAATTGTCATTTAGTGGTAGTAGAAGGCAAACACAATCTTAAATGAGCAGAAAGTTGATATCTCACTTTTTGTGTATTTATTTAAAAAAAGACCATGGAAGTTTTTTAAGTGAAAACGTCTGTCCCCTGTTCTTTTTCCCAATGAGTTTGTGGCCCTTTGTATTCCTATAGGCTATTATTCCCACAGGGCACCCCCCTGCTAGTTTTGCTCTGGTATGTGGACTGCTGTTGTATTTTTAAAGTTTATTTTAGAGTTTAGTATTTGCTGTCATGGGTCCGGGGGGCTGCATATTAATATCCTCACCCAACCAAAAAGCCAGAGTTGGGTTTAGACCACACCTGTGTGTGTCCGCGCAACACTGGCAAACGCCGCTCTCCTTGAGCAAACTACAACTCCCAGCATTCAACACGGGGAGTTTGGGCTTGCAGTGCTCAGCTCTCTTGGACACTGAGCTGCAGCGTTTGTAGGCTACCTCTACAGCGGGATTGGGAAAGCCGTCAAGCCGCTGGATAAGCATTTTTAAACAACGAGGAAACACGGCGCGGCATTTCTTTTCACTGTTATTTTTCAGACGGGGTCTCTCACCATGGGTAATGGCATCAATAAGGTAGGATTTCCATCTGTTGCACGCGACTAGTGTTTCGTTCACACGCGAGCGCTTAGCCTATCTTTAATAGTCTTGGAGATGTTCAGAAAAAAGTTGCGTCTGCTCAGTAGTTCCAGCGAATATAGGCGCGTGTTGTTGAAAATAAATAAACTTAAACCGTAGTCTGTGAATATTTAACATTATTGTGATCGTTGATCTTTTGCTCACGTCCTGAAGTCTTTGCATTTGAACCATGTGTTTCTAATTTTCACTTAATATTTTCAGGGTGTCATTTGAGTCAGCTGTTTCAAGTCCCCGAGGGCTGCACCACCTCACTATATCAATGATGCTTTGACCATGTCTGCTTCAAATGTGTACATCTATTTCTCTTTCCTTATAGGTCCTGCCTGACTTGTACTTGGGGAATTTCAAAGGTGTCTCTTAAAGTGTTTTATACTTTATAAAATATAGCCTATACATTTTTTGGTTCTTGTATTTAACAGCACACACTCATGGTCTTTGTTTGTGGTGTTATTTAAAATATCAGATGCGAGAGACAGAGAACAGCTAGCCAGAAACAACATCACACACATCCTGTCCATCCATGACAGCGCGGCTCCCATCCTCCCGGTGAGAAGCTCTCCAGCTCCTTTCCATGTACATGAAGTCCTTGCCTTAGTGTCCATCTTAAATTTCTCATTAATCTTTAAGCAAATCTATGAATCACGAAGAGATATCATACCCAGTCCATAAACCAGGTTTGAGTCTGTGCGGTTTATAATCCAATAATAAACCAGTCTGTCCGGTTGTTCAGGAAGAAGTGCTGTGCTGCTTTTGAGAAAACAGTTGTCTGTTCCGAGTGAATACACAATAAGCAGTGGGCTTGCTTGCCCATGTGACTGTTGGCATATCATGAAAAACGCCAGTCAACAACAGTTGGTTTGGTCAGTGTGCTGAGTTGTATGCTTGTGTGGGTTTAAGAGTAGGCGGCTGTTCTTGCTTCAGCCAGTGCGGACTGTGCTGTCTCTCTTCATTATTCATTTTTTGAGGTTTTTGATTTGGATGTAAACTTTCTCCAACAGCTGCAAGTGTAAAATCAGTTTCTGTTCTGAGTTGTGTCATTTTAAAAAGAGACAAGTGACTACCAATCAGCTTAAAATTGCCTTATTTCCTCCACGTCCACTTACACAGCCTGCGTTCACCATCAGCAGCGCACACAAGAAATCTTAAAAGTGTTGATGTGCGGTGCTATTTATCACCTGCTGTTTGTTGATTTGTGTTAATTGCATTAGAGCAAGTGACTGCTGACAGGTAACTAGCATACTTTGTCCCTCAGGAGATGACCTATCTCTGCATTTCAGCTGCTGACCTGCCCACACAAAACCTGTAAGTACTAAAATGTGCAGCACAGCACAGAACAATGAAAGGCTGAGGCAGTGAGTGAGAGTACTACATGCATTTGAGGGTGCACTGTGTGGGTGTCTGAGGTTCATTTTTCAAGCTACAGTAATGTGTAAATGATATGCTTTCACAAGCTCAACATTCAACTGTGAACTTACTGGATCACAGTAACACAGCTAGATTTGGCTTTGTGCATGGCTGTTCTTTTGACATGAATATGCACATGCAATTGTTTTTATGTAACATGAGAAACTGGAGAATAAAAGTCAAGGGCGATGCATGTATCACCAAGGGATACCCTTCTTTAGACACGCATTCAAACACACACACACACTAATCTTGGATGGCCAAATTCGCATTTCAGGCGGACTTTTGGCAGGAAGGAAGTCTCGCAGCTCAGTTCTTCAGTTTTTTTTATGGTTTGTGCTGTGGCTCTATTTATATACCCCCCTCCCTCCTCCCGACACACACACACACACACACACACACACACACACACACACACACACACACACACACACACACTGTCACTCTTACTGCCCTGGCTGCCTCATACCTGTTAGGTTCACCCTGCGTTGTTTGAAATCTGAAACCTGTTTTGTGAAATAAGACACCAACTCTCTCAAACCTGAGATGAACACGCCCTCATTCTGATCCATCCAGGATAAGATTTGAAAGAATTGCAACAGCATACATACAGCATGTACAACAAAACAAGAAAACCCCCTCACATGTACACAGCCAACCCCCCTTTAGATGCGTGCAGGATCTCCAAGTGTCGGGGGAAGACAAAACAACAGCACATGGTCTTAGTTCTCATAATGGTTTAATGGGGTCATGGCCTATTATAACAAACTATTTTTAAATATTTTTTTTGTGCTCCACAGGACTCAGCACTTTAAACAAAGTATAATGTTCATGCACGAGTCCCGCCTGAAAGGAGAAGGCTGCCTTGTTCACTGGTGAGAGCAGGACTGCTTTTTGTGTCTTTACCTCAAAGCTAGAATCGTGGTTCACTCACACAGGCTAGTGAAGCGAGAGAAGCTACCTAAGTAACGGAACTAGATAGATTTCCTCCATCTTATATTGCAATCATAGACAGTGCAGTACAGTTTAGCTAGAGCTAAAAAAAACTGAGATCATTCAAGTAGAGGAGTGAAGCCATGTGTAACTGCTGCACAGAGGAGATTAAATGATAAAAGCCTATTCTTGAACTTCCCAAAACAGAGTACAGTAACACAATACAGCCACATTGTATTTTTGCAGCGGGGTAGCTCACCCTATGGTCAGAGGGGAAAGTTATATTGGGTTAGACAGAAGGTCTTCTCAGAAATACAGGGGAACAAAAGACTATAAGATTTGCATTGCCATGGTTTTCTCTACCCATCTTTATTGACCAAAGCATTTACATTTCATTCAAATATATAACACGTGTTAATCAGTTTCTACACCTCACTCCCCCTTATTTTACCACATAATTCTTGCATTTTCTTCTTTGTCCTGCTGTCACAGTCTGTAGTCTGGTTGGTATTGCCTAGAATTGACATAGAATTTAGCTTTCTCAAAAAGGGCTTATCTGCATTTCTTAAACCAGCATAATAGTTACACGCTAGTCATGTCTTCTGAAACTTTAATTTCATCATACTCTTTATCCATCCCTCTCTTTTTACAGTTTGGCAGGTGTGTCCCGCAGTGTCACTCTGGTAGTAGCTTACATCATGACGGTGACAGGACTGGGCTGGCAGGAGGCACTGGCTGCTGTGAAGGTGGTCCGGCCCTGTGCTGGCCCAAACCTGGGCTTTCAGCGCCAGCTCCAAGAATTTGAGGCTACTCAAGCTGATCAGGTCAGTCATGGAAACTTTAGTATCAGAGGGTATGGAATATATCACCGCATTACTGAATAGGACATGATTACTGTAAGAATGGAGAGAGTTACACCACCAGCATTTTGTTTGTAAAATTCTTAATATTGTCATCAAAAGACAAACTGTTTTCTTTTCCTGTAGTTTAGAGAATGGCTACAGATGGAATATAAGGGCAATCCCTTCACTGACGAGGCTGATATACGTGACTTGCTTGCCAGAAAAGTCAGTGGTAAGGAGGTGGAAAACCATGCATCTACCCCACCTGGAGGTATCTGATCAGATCTTTCGATGAGATATTTTGCAGCTGAGCCTGGAGGATTACACCACCGTGTGATGCTACAGTATTCTTGACCTCTCAGGAAGTCTGATGTGCTTTGGAATGGACTAGTGTCAGGATGTTAATCTCCGCTGGAATGATCCTCTAAATATCATGGACATGAACTCCCGAAGAGACAATTAATATGTACAACACATACATTTTTAGCTTTGATAAATGTTTCTGGTGCTATTTGTTTTTTTTGTTTTTCCTTCTAATTTATTAATGTTGTGAACGGGTGTTTTTTTTTTTTTTTTTGTACTGTGTCATGATCATTTCAAATTGTGAAATAAAAGGAGTAAAATCAAGCGTTTTGTGAGGTTGTTAGTCAGTGGTCCCACGTATTGAAGGTGATAAGACATGTACCGTGCTGTGTTTACGTCTGTTTCCTGGTTGTCTTCCTGTTTGTCTAATGTGCAAGGGAGGTCATGCGTGGTGACACGAAAAACACAGAAGATCACTTTCTTTTATCACTCTGTCTTTTTCAATTGTCTCCACAGACAATAAAGCATTAAAAAAAAGCTATCAATTTCACCAAGGTGAGATGCATACAGTAGTCTTATGAACGCTGTAGATAGCTGGGCATGCGCATGGGTAGCCACTGGAGGGCAGTAAAACTAACAAAGGTGGCCATAAATACACAGTATTCTGAATTCAACCATGTGTCTTGTGACACCGGGTCCCTCATGTCTTTCCCTAATAACAAAATTAAGACTTTATACAAATGTCTAGTCAGCAGATGTTACTGGAAATTAGGCTGAACTCACAGCCCTTTACAAAAAATAAATATATATATCAATGTGGTGGAATATTTCTACGGCGGGGCATAGGCAAGTGTTCCATTCCGTCCCAGTGTCTGCTCGGGGTGTCACTAGAGGGATTCCCCACATCACTGGTGTGTGGGCGCTGAGTTTCACAGAAATGAGCGCCTGATTGTTGCGCATCTCCTCTTGAACTTCTCAGAGCCCGACAGGCTCCTCCCTGTCACAAATCAAGATGTGATAACATTTAAGAATAGGACACAGAGAGCTTGAAAACAGATTTCAGCGGGGAGCTCTCATGATCAAAGGTAAGCGGCGACAGCTCCTTTATAAACAAATGACGGTATGTTCAACATCGTAATTATTGAAAACGTTTTAATGTGTGCAATGAAGACCCGAGCAGTTTCAGCCACTCACCTCTGTGTCACGTCTGACAGGTAACATCGCAATATAACATGAACTCACTGTTATTGTAAATTTGCCTTTCAACGTAGACCTTTTACTAATAGGCCTATATAACTTGTAAGCATGCGTTTAAATCGTGTTAAAGCTGAATTAAATTCCTTCTAAGCTGATAACATAAAGTTTAAGAAACGTGATTCGGTTTCATTAGAGCAAATATAGCCTGCCACCACGCATTGTATGGTAAAATTTTTCTTGTAATGTAATTATAGCTACACGACTTGGTTGTGTTTTTACTCATGCAGGTATCTCAAATTAGTCACATTTCTTTTCTCTGACAGAAATGAAAACAGTGCTATAAACGTGATGAAGAGAATTACCAACTTCAGCATTTACCTACATGCCCTTCCTTTGTAAATGAGTAGTCCTATAATAAACGTGTCAAAACCATGGCTAGATAACTAGACAGAATGTATTAAAAGTGATTACTAATATTGCATCTATAAGGCTGCAGAGGAGAATCTATGTGGAGCACTAACTCTGGCAACTGTTTTAAGGTGAACCCAAATATCTTAATCAACTGATACATTTTAACTTGTCAAAATTATTTTGCCAGGTTCATTTAAATGAGTGAATCTTACATACTTACAACTGTATCACCTCACTGTGCCTGCAGTTTTGTTAAAGTGCTTTATATTATTTATTTTATTTTTGCAGAGATGAACCTGGATGACGACAGTGGCCTGCCAGTCAGCTGTGGCAATGGCAAACTTAGACAGTGGCTGATTGATCAGATTGACAGCAGGAGATATCCCGGCCTGGTTTGGGAAAATGATGAAAAGTCCATCTTTAGGATTCCTTGGAAGCATGCAGGAAAACAAGACTATAACAGAGATGAGGATGCTGCACTGTTCAAGGTCAGACCATCCCACCTATCTTCTCAACACCTGAAGCCTCTGACATTTGCATTTTTAACACACTATTGCATATGAATTATCAAAAAATGTAGTAATGTTGTTACTTTTTCATGTCTGTAATTGTTGTTACATCTGTGTAATAATCTTTTCAAAAAGGCTATTGCTACAAAGGATAGAAGTGTTCGTGCATCATCTCTCCATTCTTCAGAACGTTTTTAAAATTCTTGGTAGATGACAGAAAGAGGAAGTGTTTGATAATCTATTACGTTGATTGTTTCAGGCATGGGCATTGTTTAAGGGAAAATATAAGGAAGGAGTTGACAAGCCGGATCCCCCCACGTGGAAAACCAGATTACGCTGTGCTCTTAATAAAAGCAATGACTTTGATGAGTTAGTGGAAAGAAGCCAACTGGACATCTCAGAGCCCTATAAAGTCTACAGAATCATTCCAGAGGAAGCCAAAAAAGGTGAGTGTACATAAATATCATCTATCAAAAATGCAGTGTAGTTTTGGAGATTCATGTATTGACAGATGTAACAAAGTTAGGATCTTACGCCGTGCCACGCATATCCTTCATTTGCAAATACAGTATACTGCTGCATTTCAAAAAGCATCTCACATTGTTTATAGTCTATTGGCATGTTTTTTTCACATACATATGCACCACTGCAGTTGATTCTGATGAGGCAGGAAGCACAAAGGAAGCCAAGGCATGTACCAAAAAGGCCGTAGTGCTTTTTTTAGAGGGCTTCGGTTACTAAGTGCAGGGTGCACATAACACAACCAGACGACCTCCAGCCTTGCATAACTAAGTCTATGCCATCATACAACAGTTTTTGTCATGTCAAATTTTTTGCTATCCGTGCTAACACTTAATTCTTCTAATTCTTCAATTGAGCAGGATTTAGATTGGCACTTGCCTCAGTTGTCTGTTGCACTCACTTTGCAAAACACCCTGTCACTCAAATGAAAATAGCAGGACCTCACAAGTGCACAAAACATACTCACAGTGTGAACCTATCAAAATGAATCAGGTTAGTTAGGTTCACAGAAAATTGCACCTCACATATTCTCTGTTTATTGTTTTTATTTTTTTCTTTATCAAAAAAACTATGTTATGATCCTGGGTTTTTGTCAAAGATGTTAGTTCTGTTTTTTTTTTGGACGATGGAGGAGATGTTATTGTTGATAAGAAATGTCTTCATAACAAAGCAGGGCCAATGTTGTGGACCATTTTTCTAACAAATTTATTTCTGGTTTTGTACATTTACAGGAATGAAGATGAGCAGTATGGAGGAGACACCATCACATGCCCTTGGCTATATTCCTCCATATACGTCTCTGCACACCCAGGTCAGCAGATTGATTTTGTGGCTGCTGCATGCTGTAGACTGAACCTATTACATTCATGAATCTGCAATCTTACTGATTGCAAATATTTTGGTTTAATGACATCATATCTGACTGACCACCCCTACGGTCCTTTCTCAGGTACCTGGCTATATGGTTTCTCAGGAGAGAAGGGACTGGAGGGAATACTCACCACCAGAACAACAGCCTCTTCCTCCTCCACATCACCATGCAGAGGTGCAGTATGGTCAGTGCCACTACCCAACGGCATTCAGCCGGACATGGCCTGGGTCACACGCAGAAAATGGTAAGATATGGCATTATGTACATTATGGATACTACATTTAATGCTGGCCGGGATTGGACAACTATATAGATAGATTTAATAATCGACTGTGTACATATGTGTTACTGTAATGCTCAGCAGAAATACAGTGTGATGCAATGTCTATCTTAAATTTAATCTGGTGTACGTAGACTTTCATCTTGCTTTAATGTATGAAAATATGCATTAAACAAATACAATCCAAATAATAGCACCAATTTCCAACCACAGACACCTAGCTGTGACATCCTGTCAGTCCTTTTATCAAACCAAAAGCCAAGGCCGAGATGGAATACTAATACTTAAAAGATAACCTTCAAATTATTAATATGGCTTAAACAACTGTGAACAAAGATGCCATCAATGTGCCAATACCAGCTGAAGCTTGTCAGATATTATTTGTTAGTTTTTTATTTTAGTCAGGACAGTCTTGAATAATGTGTCAACTATTTACTGCAAGGGCAACATGCATTTGAGCTCAGCTGTGTTGGTTGTGATGCTTAAGAAACCCCGATACAAAATCTGGGATACGAAACAGTTAAATGACATCACGTTAAAAGGACAAATATGTGCAATTCCTAAGGACATAAATGGTGATACATGTGCAGGCTAAAGAGATGACAGGAGTAAAATAGTGGGGCAAACAGGCAAAGGTTGATTCAGCAGCTATGCAGTGCTGATCAGTCGTGTGTGCAGAAAAGTGCCAAATTTGTTTATGTGGACGGCCTGGTTGTTTGAGTTGGTTGTTTTTATATATGACTGGAAGATGTGTGAAACACATGACTTTTGAGCATGCCTGATCTACCGCATGGATCCAACATATGAATGCATGTCATGGGATTTTTCACACATTCTCCAGACTTGCTTTTGTTCCAGATTATTATTATCAATGAAATTAAAAAAGTGCCCTGATCATTGCAAAGTGGCACATTGCCCATTCACAAATTTTTTATGACCAGTATTTATTTAATTTATTCTGTTCAGGTTTTCAGCTCTCCTTTCATACCTACTTGTCAGAGTCCCAACCGCCTGCGTATGCAATGGACCACAACAATGCCATAACAGGTAAAGATTCATCTTTGGCTCATTTAAAGACAGATATTCACACAGACGTTCACTCACATGTTTGGTTTTTTTTGGAAGATATTTGCATATAAAGATAAGAAACTACAAACACCTAGTTACTTCCCCATTCTGAACTCAGAGCAGCAGGCAATGATAGTGAATATAGAGAGTTTTTTTTTAATCTATCACACGATGATAGATTAAAAAAAGAAGGTGAAAATGATGCTTGGAATGATAAGAGATGAGTGAGTAACACTGTGCGTGTTAAGATTACTGAGAATTAGGTGTTATTTAAGCTTGACATTTCAGGGCCTTCATCTGATCACGCTGTGAGGCTCACATTGTGATGCTGACAAAGTTTTCTTACAAGTTTATTTCTGCTAAATGCTCGTCTCTTTCTTCCAGATTTCAGCCTGCATGTGTCCCTATACTACAGAGAGTCTTTGGTAAAAGAGGTTACAATCACTAGCCCAGAAGGTTGCCGGATCACCTCTTCTTCGTCCTCCTCTCCATCCTCTTCCTCCTCTTCTTCCCCGTGCCCAGAGGACAAGTTTCACAGCGGTGCAGAAGTTATCCTTTTTCCATTCCCGTACCCTGAGTCTCACAGGCAGGGTGCTGAGATGCTTCCTAATGTGCTGGAGAGAGGGGTGCTTCTGTGGCTGACACCTGACGGCTTATATGCTAAGCGCCTCTGCCAGGGACGAGTGTACTGGGAAGGACCTCTGGCTCCATATATGGACAAACCCAACAAGCTGGAGAAGGAGCAGCCATGCAAACTGTTTGACACCCAGCAATTCCTTATTGGTAAGCACTTATATGTTTCATTAGGGTTCTGTTCACATCTACAGGTTTGGACACAGTGCCAGAAATAACTGTGCAATATGATGCTGTTCAAAACCTGCAATTAAAACTAGTTGTGAAATATTTAAAAAGTCAAGTCAAGTCAGTTTTTATTTGTATAGGCCAAAATTACAAATAACAATTGCCTCAAAGGGCTTTAAAATGGGGAAAGGATAAGACCCCCTCTAAAAATAGCAGCATCATAAAGTAAAAAAGTACAAGTTAAAGTGTTTAAAATGCGACCACAAGTGTTTGTTAATGTGTAGTACTTTACTTGTGAACAATTATAATGTCTCCTCTGAAGACATATTAGATATAATTAAATGTGTGTTTTATATTGTCATTCATTATCTGTTTATACACCGGCCTCCACTAATGGGTGCCCATGGGAGGCGTTGACAGATACATAGGTAAACATATATATCTGCTTATAGCTACATTAAAGTGTGATATAAAACATTTATGAATTGTTTATATACTGCTTATACATGCTAAATAGGGGGGTTAAAATAAAATGTTACCATGTAAGCAGCTGATTGGGCATGGCCAATTTGGACTACTTTATATACAGTTTAGTAATTTAATTTAGCAATGCATCATATTTTTACAAGATGATCATGGTTTGTATGTAAAATTTGAATCAGCAACAAGTAATTTAAACTGTGTAAGTATAAAGCATAGCATGCAATGGACTCCGGTAAAGTGAGGTACAGTAATTAGTAAAAAAGTAAATATATGTATTTTTTTCCAGCACAGGTGTTCACAGTATTTTGTCCACTGCTGTTTGTATAGGGGGTTCGATGCCACCATTAAGACAACTGTGAAAACAAACATCACCATGTATTTTGTTATCCTATGGTTTAGATCTATGCTCTTTGTTAAAGTATGTTAGAGTGTGCACTAATATAACCACTCTGCTTCCCTTATTATGTATGACGATGGTTGTGTCCATGTTGATAATGGCTGTGATGATGTTGATGAATGAGAGGCTGCAGGTGCTTGAGCTGGGCAAGTCCCTCTGAGTGCTGAAGTAGCATTAAGAAGATAGTTGCATTCTCAGCAGGGGGCCAAAGCATGTGGAGTCCCCACCCACCTCCTGTGGTCCACCACACAGCATGACAAGATAGTGTTTTCGGTGCCATTTCACGCTGAAATTTCCATCATCATCCCCATCAGTGGTTTCCAGAGAAGTCGTCATGATTAGGGAAAATGTTGTGTGAGCAATTTGGGGTTTTAATGTTTATTTTTTTAATGTGACATCTTGCTCTTCTTCTCTCAGAGCTTCAAGATTTTGCGCATAATGGCCGACATTTACCGAGACACCAGGTGGTGCTATGTTTTGGAGACGAGTACCCTGACCCGCAGAGGCCGAGGAAGATGATCACAGCACAGGTACCCATACGCTACAAAACTTTACTTTAATTATTTATCACACTATCGCCCATTTATGCATACTGGCTTATGCATATATGGTTGTAAGCTATTTTTTTTATTAGAGACCTCCAAATTGTCCTTCATATGCAAACAGCAGTAACTAGCCCATACTCGGTCAACAATTAAAAGACTTGAATCTGACTTTTTGTTTACTCACATATCATACCATATTAATGTGTAATTTCTATTTAAATTTACAACGAAAGAGAGCTAAAATAAAATAAAGCCAAACCGCAGTAACTACAGCTAAAGCAAGAGCACTAAATCATGCTAGCTGCTGGTGAGATAGCCAAGGCTAACCTTAGCTAAAACTAAATCTAACTTTGCTCTTTGATTTTCAGTAGTCACATACATACTTTATACTTAGACCCAATTTCATTTTAGGTGGAGCCAGTGTTTGCCAGAAAACTGCTGTACTATTACCAGCAGAACAATGGCCACTACCTGCGAGCTTATGATCACATCCAGGAACAGAACACATCTCCAACAATTGACTATCCTTCCCAGAGACCTCTACAGCACATTCAGGAGTGACAAGCATGCACAAACACACGTGCAGAGGGCATGAATGTGAATGGAAGCCACTGCCCATTTATCACGCGTGTGACTGCAGTGCTGTGTACTGTAAATGTTAGAAGCTGTCATGGTATTGAGGGGTAGAGATGGGGAAGACCCTGTTGTTTTCACTTGCACACCTATGTACCGTAGTCTTTGTGTCTGTGACTGTGGAGTAATGTTTTTTTTTTCTCAAGTATTATTGTGACTGTGTGAAGGATGCGGTTTGAGGGTGGGGGGATGAGGGGAGTGGAGGGCGACTGAGACAGGAAGTACTAGCACAGGTGCACAGGAAGAATGGCCCCTATAACAAACACTGATATGTTAAAGGGATAAAACCGAGTATGAATGAACACTTGCATTTTCACAGGTAACAGTTAGCAAAGTGATTGTTGCACTTGCACTCTGAAGTGCCGCTCAAGACAATCACAGATGTTGCCTTTTAAAGTCCTTCTGTGATTAAAACTTTTATTACCCACAGTATTTGATGTGCAAAATAAAAAGCATTTGCTTAGATGCGTAAGTGAACAGTCAACAATGTCACTGCTTTGCCCATTGTAGACCTCATTACTAAAAAAAAGTGTGAGAAACAGCTAAATTTATTTATGCTGGTTGTTTGAGTTAGGTTGTTTTTGACTGGAAGATGTGTGAAACATGTGGCTTCTGTGCTTGCCTGATCTACTGCACTACTGGGTCTAACAAATTAATGTTATGGGATCTTTCATACATTCTCCTGTCTTGCTTTTGTTCCAGATTAGACATCCATAAAAAAACAAAAGTACCCTGATCCCTGCGAAGTGGCGTAATGCTCACCCAAGACAATCACAGACATTGTCTTTTAAAGTCCTTCTGTGATTAAAACATTTATTACCTAAAAATAAAAACATTCGCTTAGATGAGAAAGTGAGCGGTCAACAATGTCATTGCTTCAGCCCTTGTAGACCTTAGTTCAGGGTTTCATTGCAAAAAAGAAAACGTGAGAGAAACTGATGTTATCACTGGTCTGGTGGGTAGGTTAGGCTGTAATCACACATTGTTTACCTCTGGGCTGCTACATGTGTTGCATGTGTATTTCTACTGAATCTGGTCATCTAAATTACTTTTAACTACATCAAACTGATGAAACAAAAATCATAAAGAGCGGTTTGTAGGTGCAGGTAATCAAGATAAATGAACAACTTTGCTTACGGTGGATGGAGACTAAACCCCATACGCCCACTTTATATGTCAAATGCCATTTACTGTGCTATTCTACGCTGACAGTTATTGACTGGTTAAAAATTATTGTTTACAGAAGATTTTCAAACAACAGGGGTTGCCAGTCACAAGATAATCTACAAAGTCACCAAATGAATACAGATATAGTAATTTATTTTTTTTAAATTTGCTGCATAAAATAATGTTTATTCATTTCCTATAATCATTGCTTTTTTTGCTTTGTTTTGTGAAATACTGTATAGTTTTATTTTTTCAAGTCACTAAAAATCATACAAATGATTTGAAAACCCATTTTTTGATTGAACTTCTCAAAACTTATAGACAACAAACTTGTTATCAAGGTTAGCAAATATATTTTTATTTATAGTTTATTGTAGTAGGGACCGATACAGATTGCACTGATAAACTGAAAAAAAAGCAGTCCAATGTGTGAATCATAGTGTTTTTTACCAGGTGCTAATTTGCAACACCCGTCCCTAGAAGGGCTTTTACAAAAATAAAACATTAAAACTTAGACATGGCTTCGTATTACAGTAAGGGCTTACAAGCTAAAAGGGTTTGGGGACCACTGGCCTACATTACACTGTCAGAGAGCAGCTTGGACCTCAAATTCTGTATCACTTGAAAGAGTGGCCTTGACCTGTCTGGACTGAAGGAGGCTGACTGGAAAAATCACACTCATCCCGTAACTTGCAAGGGAACTGTACCTGTTCCTCTTGACCTGAAACTAGCGGCCTCACAAATGGGAATTAAAACTACCTTTGTGGTCTGCGTACAAGTTCAGCCATGGAGGAGGTCCATGGTTCCCATGCCTGAGATGCTGTGGAGGGTCACACGCTGGATGTAATGTCTACATAAAAGCTATCCTAAGATCCCAACAACCTACTTTGGAATGTGTATATATCAAAAGACATAAAAATCCAACATTGAGAATAATGGAATTCTTCATGCTGTTGAAGTCCCAACGGCTGATGCTGCAATAGATGGGGATAAAGGTTTTGTTATGTTTTTCTTCTGTGGTCCAGAGTTTCGATCTCTGCATTTACTTCCTTCACACTTAAACCACATCACTTTCACAATGGCTTCAAAAGTCTGACCAAAATCACAGGCAGGAATGTTTTTCTTTTTTTTCCTCTTTTTTAGGTGTGTGTGTTCGTGTGTGTGTGTCTGAGCCATAAATCACTTTACCCTTTTAACATCTGGTCAGTTGCCCTGATTCTGGGCTAGGGGAAAATTCTGTTTCACATTACTTCACAGTCAGACATTTTCACTCATTCAAAATTAAATCCTAATAGTGAAAACGTTACCAGCTCCACATACAGTGTGCTGTTGTGGTAAACACTGTGTATGTGTGTCTGTGTAGCAAAGGACCATGTGTGTTCATGTGTGTGGGTGGGTACACAGTTGCACTATTACTGTTATCAGGAATTGACATTTATGGACTCAGGATAAAACATGTGACTCCCCCACCTACAACATTAGTGACTCAAACACACCCATTTCACATCACACTTTATGGTTACAGTAAAACATTAAGAGCAAGCCACAGAGGAAATCACAAAATAGGTGTGCATACTGAAAAAGAAAAAAAAATGTTCTAGCATTTTGTACAAAATATCTGAATATGACTTATTGATTATATGATTATAAGGATGATTAATATAAAATTTCCATATGAATAAATGATTTATTTTCAAATAAAGTTATCAATCTTTTGCTACTTATGTCTGCTGTGCTATTTCATTCTTTGAGCTGTTTTTCGACTTGCAAACAAGGCGAGGGAGAGTGAGAGAGTCGTTTTTGGTAAGAAGAAGACCAAAAAAAAAAGGGAAAAAAAGGACAAAAGAAAAGCACATTCACACATTTGCCATGGTGTTTCCCCCACTGCAGGAAGCCGCACATCATTTGTAGTCAGGCTTGAGTTTTTTCCGCCCTGTGTGAGCCGTTATTCCAAGTGGCATCGCCTTAGCCCTTCAGTCGAAGCTTTGGAGTAGACAGTTTAGTCAAACAGTGCCCCAAATATCGCTAAAAAGGTTTTGCAGAGAAATGAAACTAACACAAGGGTATGAACACTCTCTAAAAGAAAGTTATGTTGTTGGTTCCGTATTGATTGAGTGAGGATTAATTTGACTGGGCATCTAGTGATTCATTATCCAACATGATACCATGTCAGTCTTTACACTTAAATTTTCCACCTGAAAAGAAGCAGCACAATGTGTCACAAAAATCACAGTAACATTGTATTTCTTGTGAAAAGTATCTCCATCTGATTCTGTTATTGCTTCTTTTACTACTCTTCACACACGGATCATCTTTTGGGGGTTTCACTGCTATTACAGTGGCATTAACATTGATCACACGTATTGGACTGTAAAAGACTCTCTGATGTTCATTTAATATCAATTCTGTTATTACAAGTTTGACCTACATATTCTGATTACAGTTTGTATCAAAAGCAATGTTGATTTGTTTATCTACTTATGTGTCAAAATACATCAAGGCTGTGAGGCAAGAAAAAAATGAGTGTGTATGGCTAGAAAACCGCAGCAAAGTTTTGCTGACATCTGCTGGCTAATGTAACAAACCAAAGAGCTCCTGCTGTGGCATACAGCAGGAGCTCTGCACCTTGGTGGTTTAGAAGATGATCCACAAGTTAGGCTAAAAGAACATAAAATAATTCTCCTTGTACTTGATAGTTTTACCTCTTCGGGAATCTAAAAAAATGTTTAAGCTAAAAATCGCTCTTTGCTTGGTGCTCAGCACTTTCATAGAAATGTGCAACCTTTGATGAGGAGTCATATAATTTGCCTGTTATATTGTTTTAAAGGATCACAAGCCAAAAAATTTAACCAATGGCATCGCGCACAAGGTAAATGACAAGTCTGCTCTAATGCCAAGCTCTAGGTAATGAAAATACTTCTGAACGTTCTAGTTTGTGCGTATAGTACTATGTGTGGTCATACTCAAAGCAGTTGAGAAATTGCAGGCATGAAGATAGTTTATACCAATATGTCTTTCATATGGTGTGAAACATAAAAGGGAAACTCCAGGTGTGGCCCCAAAACAAAAAGGTTTAGAATCCAAAGTTTCAAGAATAAACTTTTTCTGCACATTGAAATCTGACACAAAAGCAGCTGGTCATTACATTCTGCATTCACAATTCAACATGCAAATTGATGAACACATAGTTTAATTCCCTTGATTTTTTAAAAACTTCATCCCTGAGAACATACCTGTGATAACTGTACAGTAGACTCCACAAGACTCCATGACCCCAGTATGTTAAGGATCAGACCCCAGACCATAATATGATGACAGTCCTGTTTAACCCTGGTCGACTCTGGCTGATCCTTCTCGTTGATCGCATGGTCAGGAATGTGTTGACCTCCATCTCCCTTTTTACAGATGGTCAAAACTATTCTGCAAATCATTAGTCACAGGCCCACAGCTGACTCTGTGCTCTTATGAAGCAGTGGCTCATGGGAGCAAATGCTGAGATAAATATTTGATGAACAGAGGACATTTAAACTGACGTCTGTTTAATAATTACTCTCTATTATCCTCTTATAATGTGGTTCATTATTATTATCATTATATTATCATGATAATAACCTATTATTATTAATTATCTGCATATGACCTACACAAGGCATGAGAACTGCACCCCGCCACCAGTAAATAAAAACTTTATCGGCAAAATTAATCAGCTTGAATTGTTTTCAGATGTCTGTGTTTATCTGAGACTCTTCAGATAACAATGTATTTGACCCAATACATTATGATGGCAGGAAAGCAATAACAGTTGTCGGATAAGGAGCAGCAGAGTAATGGAGAACAATCAGATGACTTGGGACACGAGTGTAAACAGAAAATGGTTGATAAGCAGAACAATATGGTGGTCTACCTGGCAGTGATGCAAGGGGTGGGCTGCCAGTTTAGTTTGGCTGGCAACTTGCAGAGGTTTGAAGATGAAGGAGGACAAAGGGGGGAATTATATAATTTCACCATAATCTAGATTTCCTCCAGAGAAACACAGCAAACAGAGAAGATGTTCAAGCTACACAGTAGACCAACCAACTAAGAAAATGCGACTGTAGATATATCTGCAGTAAAATAAATGCCCAGCAGGGAGTGATGTATCACATCCAATGATTTGGGGGGTTAGACTGCAGTAATAAGTGCATTCACAAACCCTTTGATCACTCTTAATGGCCCAGGGATGTTACTCCCTGTAACACCCCTTCCTCAACATACAGTTGTGCCCCCCCCCCACACACACAATTTTAGATTTTATTTATTTCCTCAATTTATTTGGATTCCTTATCAAATCTTGCTCTCTGGATTTCTTGTTCACAATTTCCTATCAATAGAAAGTGTTTTCGGATTCCACTTCATTCCTTTTCCATCTTCCTAAACACAGACGCTTTGTTTTAATGCGTCAAGTGACAGAGAACCAGTGCTGACAGAGAGACGGAGGTGGTCAGAGTGACAGCTCGTGCGCTGTGTTGCGTGAGAGTGACTCGGGCTGTTCTCAGACTCTGTGTGGTCTGGGTGTGTGGTCTCAAGCTGACGGGCAGGGAGGAGGATGGGAGAGCCCTGTGAGTTGTGCGTGTGTGTGTGTGTGTGTGTGTGTGTGTGCCTACGCGCTCATGTGTTTACTTTATCCAGAGTCAGGTCCAGGCTCTCTGCAGCCATGGCTGGACTAGAAAGCTCTGCCTTCCGCCACTCAGCAGCCCTAGTTCGAAAGATAAACACACACTGCCACCACTCTGACATGGCTCATCTAAGGATAATTTCTATCCATGTATACTTACGGGACCTTAGAGACCTTTAACTTAGAAGGTCTTAGGCTAATGTGTAACTTCTGAAACTGTAGCTGTGTATAGAGTAAGTTTCCTAAAGGTAATGGATTAAAAATTGACACTTACACACCTACACAGTGTATTAATGGGCATTTAGCACTGGACACAGTTTGACAGATTTGATTGCATATTTGTGCATTTAACTTTTTTACATAAAGGCCATTCCTAATTTACTATCTCTAATCCTTAGTCTTTAACAGTGTTAGTAGCACATCACAATGCATTTCATTACACATTTTACTTCTATATGTGACATATAAACCTAGTTGATAACCAGATTCTTGCTCTTCCTTGTACGTAAGACATGCATAAATGTTGGTTTATGACTAAGCACTATGTGTAGAGTGTAATTAACTATGCATAACTCTTATGGAATTTCTGATGCACTAAAAGAGTACAGGTCAGTTTGGCATTGAGTTAATTTTTTTTTCCATTTTTTCATCGGAAGTATTTGTTGGATGAATCTGGGGCTTATGTTTTGGTTTTCGTCTTCTTTTTTTGTTTTTCTTGTTTTGTGAATATTTTGACAAGTATGTTATTTTTATGTTGTTTATGACAAAATCTAAGTCAATTTGCCGTTCGCGTTTTATTTTATTATTTTTTGCAGTATCTGATTCCTTTTGATTTAGTCTGCAGATAGATCCAATTAAAATAACAAAGGCAACACAGATTTAAAGGTCTTTCCTTATGATCATTAAGTGCAGATTCACAGTGAAGGAAATTAGAATGTATACAGCCTCCATCACTCTTCCCTCCTGCACACACACACATTCAACCATTGGGCTACTCTACACTCCTCTGCCTCTCCCACAGCGATCTCAGGGGAAGGCTATGTAATGCAGCACTGCTGAGAACGCGCCATGAAAATATAAATACAACCTCGCCGCATTTCAACCATGTAAATAAACAGGGCCACCCAAATTTCCAATTAGAGCTGGTGTGGAAGGCAGGAAATGGGGTAGACAAGAAGAGACCACGCCCCTCTCTATCCTCCACTTCTGAAAAGAGTCCAGGTCCAGGTCCAGGTCAGGGACATGGGACAGTGACAGTAGAGAGGGGAATAAGGCATTCAGCACACCACTGAAGCCTGTTTTTGCACCCCCCTCCAGCTCCATGCGCTCCTCCTCTCATTACCTCTCAAGGATGGGACTCACACAAGCTCCCACAAAATTCAGATATGGTCATGGAACGAATGCATGGGATTTGATGCTTATACCTATATCACTATAATCTTGGTAATACATGAGATTTTCTTTTTGGTTCACATGTCCAAACATTTAATTTACTTCATTTTGAGAAACCAAGCCTTACACCAGCTCGCCTTATCAGTCCCATCAAAGTTATCAGGCGATTCCTATCTGGCTAAAATGAGACATTCTCACTGTATTCCACCTCTTCTTGGAACAGCTAGGCACCATTATTACGCAGCTAAGCCCTGAGACCACCCAGGAGATGGGGTCCAGTTGTGCGAGGCAGATGCAGGGTCCTTGTTGTGATAAGAAAGACAAGCCTTCTCTAAGGAGAGATGGTGCTTTGATAGTGTTGAGAGGTTCGCCTGATAGCTGCTGGATCAAAGTCTGATAGACTTGGCTGGCACTGACTAGCTTGAGCTCATGTGCCTGTTGGTCAATCGCTGTGTTCAGCTGTGGTCAGATGGCAAACATCATGGGGCCTATTAGTTAACATAAACATACAACTTGGTGTAATTACCCCAGACAGTCAAAGAGCTGTGTCACGAAAGTCACTTTCTCTCCAGATATGGTTGTCAGGGTTATAACCACATTTCTTGATGACTATAATTCACCCGGAAAGGGCAGAGCTCATTTAGATAAGTCTGAGGGAAGAATCTGAGGTAATT